CCCCCACACACGCTCACTATCAGAGGGAACTAAGTTTCTTTGAAGTTGGGAATTACACACGAGTGATGGCTTTGTAAAATTAGCACATCTGAGATTGTCTCTAGTAGTTCTTTTTAAGATCTTGGGGGACACAAGGAAATCCTTTACTGTAATATGATTTTAATAACATTGCCCTTTGGTTCTTACTAAAAGCCTAATTACTGTTGCAATTAAAATATTCCTGTAAATGCCCCAAATTCCCTTTAATGGAGTGGTGCTACCCCTATTGAGAACCACTGGACAAAAGTGGTTTATAGTAGCAGAATAATCATAAAAATTCACCTGCATAATTTCAAAATTCTTTGAAAGAATGTCTGGGAGGTGAAAATTTAAAAAGTAATGATTCAGCAAGTCTTAGAATACGTATTTTAGTCTTGTTCCATTGTAGAACTTTTGGGGGAGTTATGCTACTTATGACAATTTTACAAATTCATATCTCCTTCAGAGTGAAGTTATACTCAACAGATAATTACAAAACAAATAAAAATTATCTCCTGGGATCAAATGTGTTGTAAACTAGGAACCACATGCAAACTATGAAATGAATTCCTCATTCTGTGCCGACTCTAATATCACTAATTTATTCAAGTGAAGAAGAATTGCCTAGAAAAATCACCATGGACTAGAAGTCCAAAGGTAAAAACTCAACAAAAGACAAATGGGACAGTTTATGTAGGTGACCTGGTCCAAACCAGCGTTAAGTTTGAATAGCAGCTACATGATGGATGGTGTGAATAGAGCTTGGTGGATTCTCTTTCGTGTCAAATGCTCACTTTCCTCCAGTGAAAAACTGAGAAATGGATGGATAATAAATAGCTCTTCTGGTTGTTTTGGTGAATAAATCAAAAAGTATTTTGATTTGTTCAGCCCCGTACCAGTGAAATCTTAATGAATGGTACAAAGGGAAGGAAAGTGGAGGGGTGAATGCGGCAGAGGAAAGAAAAAGCACTAAGGATAGGTCGAGAAGGAAGAAAAAGAAAAACCTCTGTGACTATGTCTAATTCATAGCTCAGAAAAATGTTAAACAAATCTTACCTTATGGGTTAGCTGTAGTCTTTTATAGACTGTCTTAGAAAGAAAGCAAATCAAGGCAAAATTTTGTTTCAGGTACATCATGCTTCTTATTTCAGATGATTATCTGTCCTTAATCATAGTACTGACCCCCAAAATACTTTAAGTTAAAGTTTGATACCATTGTGTCAGGAGGAAAATAAATAGGGCAATTTTTGCAAGACAAATAAATGTGAAGTATGATATATCCTTCATTTTCAGTCTCATGCTAGAACGGGCCATATATTCTGAAGCCCTTCACATTCATTTCATGAAACTATAACTATAAAGCCAATTCAATAGATCTAAGGCTGTGGTGGTGGTTTATTCAGTGCGTGTGTGTGTGTGTGTGTGTGTGTGTGTGTGTGTGTGTGTGTGTGTGTGCATGCGAGCACACTCATGCGTGCACCTGTGGGGAGAGAGAGAAGTAAAGGAAGGCAGAAGTAGATTTTAACAGTCACTACTATAGATACTATAAACAATAAACTTCTGTAGCAGGGATCTTAACAGTTCTTATTGAAAAAATCAAACCTGAGCCAGGTATTAGGGTGAACACTGGAAGATCAGAGAACCAGAACAAGCCACAGCTAACCTTACCTGGCCAACTTCTCAGCTGGTTTTGTTTCCTCAGACTGGAAGCCTCTGTGTCCTCATCCCAATGGCTCTCAGCTGAACTGCTGCTCAAAAGCCTGAAGCTTAACCAGCCAAATGCTTAACCAGCCAAATGCTTAACCAGCCAAATGCTTCTAGTTTCTAGTCCTCACACCTTATATACCTTTCTGCTTTCTACCACCATTCCCTGGGATTAAAAGACTCACTTTCTGGGATTAAAGGTGTGTGTCACCATGCCTGGCTCTTTCCGATGTGGCCTTGAACTCACAGAGATCCCAGATGGATTTCTGTGTCTGGAATGCTAGGATTAAAGGCGTGAGTGCCACCATTTCCTAGCCTCTGTATCTAGTGGCTGTCTGTTCTCTGACCCCAGATAAATTTATTAGGATACACAATATTTTGGGGAACACAATACCACCACAAACTTCTAGAAAATAAAATGTTTTATGTGCCAGGCAGTGGTGGCGGACACCTTTAATCCCAGGACTCGGGAGGCAGAGGCAGGCGGATCTCTGTGAGTTCGAGGCCAGCCTGATCTACAAAGTGAGTTTCAAGAAAGGCACCAAAGCTACACAAAGAAACCCTGTCTTGAAACCCCCCCCCCAAAAAAAATGTTTGATAGACTTTCAATGCTGTTATTTTCAATATAACACAGTTCTTTAATGATGAGGTCAAAAGTCATAATTAAATGATACTGTGTTCAGAAACATTTCTTTCAGAAAATAAAGTCTAGGCCATTTGTCAATTAAATTTTTGTATTTAAAAGAGCTAAAGAAAGTTAATTGGCATGTTCACATCAGGTCATAAAATTGTCTTTGCCATGAATGAAAATTCAACTTATTTCCTTAATTAGAATGAGAAGTAAAGGCATGCAAAATGTCTAGGGTTATCAAAGGAATGTTCCTCTCATCCCTTGCCTTGACTGTTCAGGTGCATGGTGTTACAGTGACAAGATGCTCATAAGTATGCTGGAATTGTGTCACAGAAAGGGAACTGACAAGAAAAGGTTTTCTTGACAGCTTGCATTAGTGGCAGACAGTATAAGTCACACCTTGATTCTTTTTTTCTTTCTATGCTGAACATTATTGTGGATCACCAAACACAGTAACGGGGAGTCATAATGTTCTTTGATATGGCTCTGTACTTAGGGAGACAAGAGATTTTAAGGTAGTGTGGATCTCTACTGGCTTTAGCATGAGACTCCTACAGGTACTTTGAATTTGAAAAGGGGAATTCTGTCGACTTATTTTATAGGAGTCTCAAATCTCTAAAATTAAATATATAAAATGCCTGTGGTCCACTGGGCTTCTAGCTAATAGCCCAAAATGAATTCCATTTCTGGAAACCAGGAAGTTTTCAGTCATGACTTTGGCTGTCTCCATTATTGTGTGCTTGTCCTGAATTTTGAATTTATTATTTTTTTGTGGAGTCAAGATATTTAATTTATGGCCAGAAGAGTTGCATGTTGTTTTTCCTAGCAGAGCAATGTTAAAAGTCCATTTCCCAATTTCAGAGCTTATAGTTCCTCTGTTTAAAAGAGTTTTGTACATTAAAAGATGGCTATAGAATTCAAGAACTGAAGGGTAAAATGGAGCACTATATGAAGTGTTGTTTTCTGGACATGGCATGACTGTTTCATATATGAACCAATAGCAGCCGAGGTTATCTGCACAAGACCTGCACAATATGAAGCTAGTTTAAAAATCTAGCATGGAGGTATGACAGGCTGCTTAGCTGGGATGATGGAGGTAATTGAAGGTTGCTGGAGTAGGGAGAATTACTTTTCTTTGGAGGGAAGGTCACTGTTATTTTGCCCCATATTGCAGTGGAGGATCCCACAACCATGTGAATATGGGCATCACTAAGTGTATTCAAATATTTTATGGCAAAAAAAGAAGACATGAAGTTGGTAGGGAGATGTATTGGATGGGTTGGGGAGGAAACTGGAATAAAGAAGTGGGAGTGGGCATAATGAAGATACATTGTATATTTGTATGAAAATTTCAAAGAATGAATACAAATTAATTTTAAAAGTTTTGTCACATGTTACACTTCACTTTTGTATATATTTTGTATATATTAACATTAAAAGAATGGTCATATGCAACACACAAATACACACATATATATGTGCATATGTACACATCGTACATTTATGAGAGTGTAGGAGAGAGAGCAAGAGTTTAACTTTTTGAGAACTTTACTGTAGCTAGAGTTTTCCTGCCTTGCCCACAGTCAGGACAAATCTCTGTCACCCGCCAGTCCCACAGCCGCTCAGACCCAACCAAGTAAACACAGAGACTTATATTGCATACAAACTGTATGGCCGTGGCAGGCTTCTTGCTAACTGTTCTTATAGCTTAAATTAATCCATTTCCATAAATCTATACCTTGCCACGTGGCTGGTGGCTTACCGGCGTCTTCACATGCTGCTTGTCATGGCGGTGGCTGGCAGTGTCTTTTTGCCTCAGCCTTCTGCTTCCTAGAATTCTCCTCTCTCCTTGTCCCACCTACTTCCTGCCTGGCCACTGGCCAATCAGTGTTTTATTTATTGACCAATCAGAGCAATTTAACATACAGACCATCCCACAGCACTTTACATTTAGGCTTTAAGCTTTTAGAAATATCCATGTGACACCGAGAATATTCTGAATCAATAGTATTTTTTTGAGTTACAGAAAAATGTGCTTGTGGTTTCTCAGTCTCAGCAATACCTCTCACCGGAGCTTTCTACAGCATTGTACATTAAACTAGTAGTACTTTGCACTGATTGCATTTCTTAGTTTGAAAAGTTATTTAGTCAAGCAAAGCCCTTTTTAAAGGGCTGAGATGGTTCCATAGTGTGGGGCAAATATGCTGATGAACCGAGTTCGGGAAGCCAGTGTCGGGTGGTTTGTGAATTCAACCTGGAACTCATAGTTGCTGAAAATAATGATCTTTCAAATCCATCTTTCCGTGGATGCAGACTTCATTTCCAGCATCTATGTCATGTATCTGCCTGTTTGTTGGGGTGTTATAAAGTATCTTGGTTTATAACCCTATTAAGATTGTATAAAGACATTGCTGTATTCTGTGTTTTTCCACACAAAAACCAGAAAGTTCTCACAAACTGTTACAAAAGGTAAGTGTTCATAGGGAGAATAAAACTCATTTAATTTCTATATACTTTTAGAAAAGCCTAAGTTCATTCTTCTTAAAAAGTTCAGTATCTCACTGAAAGGTGATCAGTGCATAAAATTTAACATTTCCCTGAAGATATGAAGTCTTCATACATCCTGAAGAGCCTTTTAAAGTAATAAAGCATTACATAAATGCTGTATGTTCCTTAAATTTCTGAAAGTATTACTTTACTTACTGAGATAGTTCGGTGTTATGTTGGCCCTAATATTCAAGTATGCAATTATTTTGCATGGCTGATATTTACCTAAAATATTTTTGGAAGAGAAAACTGAAAATAATCTATTAGCTGTTTTTAAATAACAACTTTAGAACTTATCAGACATGAATTTCAAAGCCTTTTTCATAAGGAAAGGGTGCTTTAGAAATATTCAAAATTTATGTTTTATATTAAGAAATTTGTTAATATTTTAAATAATATATATTATTTTGATGGAAGCAAGTGTTTCCTGTGTTAAAAATGATCAGTTTAAATTTGGCTGCATCTCTTCTTGATTTCCTAGGGACCCTTACAATGCAATTGAAGCCATAGACCCAGAGAAACTGAATGTCTTTCGGACGGTCAGAGAAATAACAGGTACTTTGAAAAGTATATGTAATTTTTGCCCCAAGCTATGTGACCTTCTGTTTTCTTGAAATAATTACACAATATTTATAATAGCAAATCAATTTTTGAGAGGAGTTCTAGTTTGTAAAAACTCACATGGTTTTGAACATTCAGGAACTTCCATATTTTGAAACCAATAGAATTACATAAATAAACTTTAAAATATTGTTAATATTGTGTTTGCAAAGACCAAAAGATCTGTGATTCTTAGAAACTTGTTTTGCAATTCATTTTCTCGTAAGAATTGCAGTTCAATATGGGCAATATATTGCACTCATTTAGCATGGTATTTTTTGAAGATTTACTTTTTAAAAAATCTTTTATAATAACCCTTATGGGTTCATAAATAAGAATCAAACTTGGATTTGACATCACTGAAAATAAAACCTGATGAGAAAGATTAGGGCTAAACACAAATAGCTTAGATTTCTAGGTCAATACAGATGTGATATTATATAGATAAATGGTGAACAAATTCACAGAAATAGAACTATATTTTCCCCTTAACTGAACAACATTCTATATATGTATCTACCAAAATAAAGTAAATGTCCTTTTTTCAATATTTGATACATACACCTTTATGATTGCTTGAGTCTTAGAAACAGGGATTCTTCGTCCCATACTTTGATATCAGCATTGCATTTACTGTTTACTCCAGAAACTAATAGTACTATATGTAATCATAAAGGAATAAATATGTGGTGGTTGCTTCAAAAGTAGTTTTCCTTGTCTTTTGCTTCCTCTCCACCTTTCAAAAAATGTTTTCTTCATGTTTGAACAATAATTAGCACTGTTGTTGAAAAATAATATCATCAATTAATTTGCTTTCCGACTTCCCTATAGGTTTCCTGAACATACAGTCTTGGCCTCCAAATATGACAGATTTCAGTGTTTTCTCCAACCTCGTCACCATTGGAGGGAGAGTCCTCTACAGGTTGGTAAATATGTTCAGTCTGTAAGCTGCACAAATACAAGGAAGGACATCACAAGTTCTTTAATGTTAAAATATCAGTCTTACTAATCTACTGATTAATTCCAAAGATTAAACTCCTGAAATAATTTCCAGTGTGATGAGAAACACATAGAATTCATAGTTTGATTTTCAAGGATTTATTGCCTGTCCTGATAATATTTTTCAGGTATGAAGCCTGTGATATGACCTGTAGAACTGAATCTTATTTTTAATTTTTAATGTACTAAAAGATAACTTAGATGCCTCAGAAATGACTTGAGAGTTTGGGAAATAAATGTTGTTGTACCTGGAGGCTAGAGATGTATCTTTGATACTATTGTGTGTGCTATTCATCTGGTGTTGATGTTATTGGGGTCGCTCCACTATCCTTAGTGTTAAATAATAAATGGAGAGGTCAGCATGATATTGTTAGCAAATATTAATGTTGAAATTTTAAATTTACATGATAAAATGAACCTTTAATAAGTCTCTACCTTTTTTAAAGGTTTGTTTTAAATTGTAATGGTTAAAGTTGACTATTTATACAAAAACAGATACAGCTCTAAGTTCTGAAAAGCAGTAAAAATGGACAATAAATACTTGAAAAAATGTTCAACATCCTTATCTAATGGAAAAGATACCTGATGGAAGTAAGTGCCATCATAATGCATGCCATTGAGAAAACAAAAGTTATTAAATGCTAACAAGGATGGAGGAAAACTTACTTACACATCAAGTGTAGAAATGGAAGCTAGTTTACCAACAACAGAAATCATTGTGGGGGTTCCTCTACCATCAAAGTAGTGCCACTGTATCATCAGGTTATACACTTCTTAAATATATTCCCAAAGTTAGCATAAGGCAGAGATGCCTCCACATCTATATTTATCTATACTTATATACAATAACCAAGTTAGGGAAAGGCCGGGCATGTCATAGATGGATGGCTAAATAAGATAAATTTAAAGACAACATTGTTTGATGTTCCAATATGGGTTGAGAAAATCTAGGTCCAACCCTAGACAATGGCTACTCAGAGAGGAAAATCAATATTCTGCAGAGATGAACCTCGATAGGTTATCCAATTCAACGTGGTCAACCATAAACACATATACATATGATCAACACTAAATAGACTAGGGAGGTTTTATATGTATGTGTGTGTATATATATACATATATATGTATGTTATATATAATATATTAATATCATATAATAATATTTGTAATATGTATATTATATATGCATAAAAAGTAATAATTAAAGAAAAAGAATTCATAAGTTGATAGAGTATGAGTGGCATCAAGAAATTAAAAGTGTGAAGTTTAGAGTGAAAATTATGTAAATATGATACTCATATATGAAATTCTCAGAAAACAAAACACACACACACTCAGGCACACACACATACATATACACTGGGGTAGAATCCTACCATATGGAAGAATAATCATTTTGTCATATGCAGGAAATACATGGTACTGGGGATTATGTAAAAGAAAATAAACACTACCCCAAAAGGCAAACATTGTATTTTCTGTATACAGAATGGAAACATAGTAGATAGATAATAGATAGATTGATAAGTAGATAGATAGATAGATAGATAGATAGATAGATAGATAGATAGATAGATGATATAGACAGATATAGAGATAGATGGTAGATAGACAGACAGATAAATATGACAAGAAGAGGGACTACTTGGGAAGAGACAGAGCAGTGAGTGTGGACGGTATATAGGAGAAAATAAACTGAGGGAATATAAAAGTACACTCTATGTATATGACAATGCCACAATGAAACCCATAAACATATCACAGAAAGGGTAAAAGAAAAGAACAATAAAAAGGATAATTAGGACTTAAATTTATTCAAGTGCTATGTGCAAACAAGTTCTATTATTTATTGGATAAAATATTAATCACTCCAGGAATAATGAGGATACAGTAGTCAACAATTCAGTTGTTTAGGAAGAAAAAGGAAAATAAAACATAAAAGAATTGCAACTCCATGATTTAACATTGTCCCTTTTTGTTATTGAGAACAGTTCTAGACTCTAAAGCCAGGGGTATTTATACTTATTAGTGAAAAATAGAGCTTGTATCTACCAAAGGAAGATCCATACCATTTAGTTGATCGACACACAGGGATGTGAAAAGTATAATTTAAACACAATAGAATTTTAAAAAGGAGATCACAAAATATTGACTATGTTGCAATAGAAGGAATTTTTCTGAGGATCATTCTTTTGTCGAGTAGACTGGATTTCAGAGTTTTTTCCCAACTATCTAAACTTCCTCAGTGTTTTTTTTTTTTATTTTAAACTTTTAGCTGTTTCACTCTTTGTATTTCTAATCTTTTTTGTACATTCTGCAACTGATCAGTTTTTGTTTCTGTTATACATGAATCAAAATCTAAAAAGCTACAATCTATTTCTGTAATATTTACCCTATGAAAGCATGTCTATTTTTACATAGTTGTAACAGAATTAACATGTTATCATGGGTAACTATAAAGACTTATTTATATTTTTTATTCTATAAATATTTACTTTTAGTATAGAACTTTATTGTTGAGGAACACAGAATTTAGGCTGACAAGATAAGGCAGTAAGTCAATATTTCAGTGGTAAATGTATATTGTCAGTGTTCATAATTATAAGAAATGGACATTGCCAATTAGGAAATTAAATGATTATGCAAGTATATACCTGAGCACAGGTTCGTCCATTCATCCACTGTTTATGCTCCATTATTTTTATTTTTGTTGTGAGGTGCTATGTCCTTATTGAACTTTACAGTATAATTTCACAAATTACTCTTTTTCATTTCCCCCTCTCTCCACTTTAGTGGTCTCTCGTTGCTTATCCTCAAACAACAAGGTATCACTTCCCTGCAATTCCAGTCTCTGAAGGAAATCAGTGCGGGCAACATCTACATTACTGACAACAGCAACCTGTGTTATTATCACACCATTAACTGGACAACACTCTTCAGCACCATCAACCAGAGAATAGTGATCCGAGATAACAGAAGAGCTGAGAATTGTAGTAAGTACACCCCCCACACCTGGGACAGGGAACCCTGCTCTGTTCTATATGGCATTAAATAGTTGGAACTAACCTCAGAATCATTTCCCTCTAACCCAATAATGGAGAGACAGTGGTGTTTAGAGCATATTGTCTGCTTTCACAACCTGGCAAATATCTGGAAACCTTGTCTGGATATTTAAGTTCCATAGATCCTAGTAGAATCTGGGCATTGGAAAGCTTAATGAAGATGTCAGGTAATTCCACAGATCCAGTGATGGCATTTGGGGAGGGCTGAGGAACCTGGGATGTGCTCTGAGATGTGGGGAAATGTGGTCAAGAAGTTGGCTGTTTTAGAAGGAAATTAATTTTATAAATGCACTTATATGTAGATAGACTTTCTGACTTGTAGTATTGTTTGATACTTTTGCTCCATTCCTTCACTTCATTGTTACCCGAAGTAAACGGTTTTCATTGGCAGACTTCTACATGATTCCCATCTAAAACAAACATGCCCCAGTCATTAGCGAATTTACTAAACAAATATAAATAGTATTTATAAATATATATATTTATAAAAATAAACTAAAGTTTATTGGTCTATGAGAACAAATGATGAGTAGAGGCTGCTTTAAAATTACAGTCTTAGGAAGCTAACAGAATTTACGTTTACTAAGTTAAGCGCTCGGCAAATTAAGTTGGTAACTGTCTTTTTTGGTGATAGTCTAAAACATCTGAGGCTAGCAGCTTTTGTAAAATGAAACATGGGAGATATCCACTTATACTTTGACTGCTTTTGTTTGTTTGTTTGTTTTGTTTTGTTTCTTGAGACAGAGATTCTCTGTGTGGTTTTGGTATCTGTCCTGGATCTTGCTCTATAGACCAGGCTGGCCTAGAACTCCCTGAGATCCACCTGGCGCTGCCTCCTGAGTGCTGGGATTAAAAGTGTGCGCCACCGCTGCCTAGCTACTTTGGCTGCTTTTGTTCCTAAAAAATGTTTTATAGAGAGGGGCGATCTATAGCAAGAGCAAGCTCTGTCTTTAGGGGAACTCCCATTCTTACACATTCTGTGTTGCCGCAAAAATCAGGAAATAGATCTGCTTATGTATCAACCTGTGCATGGTTATATTAAATGAACCCTCATTTTTCTGCACCTGGGATCATTTACTTTATTTATGTACTGTACAGGATTCTTGAGGGGTGACTATGTTTTTTTTTCTTTCTTTCTGAGCAGAAGCGTCTTTCTTTACACTTCTGTGCGTGTGCCTGCATGCCATACAGGAGAAGATGTATGGCATTAAAATAGACTCTTTAGTACAAATTTACAAATAATTACCTAACTTATAGTTATAGTTTGTATTTTTTTGTTTTATTCATTCAAAATAAAACCATTTTACTACCTTTCATTTATGATTGATTGGTAGCTACATATAGGAAAATATGAAAGAATTGGAGACAACCTGTTCTCTTTGACACGGTGAATTCAAAAATCCTGAAAACACTCATGTTTTATATATCATTTTTATACCTGGACATATAAAATCAAATGGGAAGGAAAATACAGGAAAAACAAATATGGAATAAAGCAGAGTTTTGATGTAAACTGTACACTGTTTTTCTATTCTTCTAAGACTTAGGAATTTTTGTAGCATGCAAAGGGAAGCATATTACAAATTACAATGATAACGGTAAATCACTGAACATCTAAGATTTCAATATTGTGCAAATTTCAATATTAGACTAAGTTCAGTTATTTTTAAAACATGCATGTATTTCCTCCTGAACACTTAGGTTTGAATTTTTAATTTGGGGAAGAAATGAAGCAGTTAGAAGGAACAGTTTTGTTGCATTATAGTACCAAATTAACAATATCAGTTTTTATCTCCAATGGCTTCAAACAAATGCTTTATTGCATGAAGTATATTTATCAAAATTTGGACTATAATCACAAACCACATCAAATCTTAAGAAACATCATATGTATTCATTTTTCCTGAAATATAGTAGTCCTGTGACCATGACCTCAGGATTGATTCTATTGATGGTCACAGTCAGTCTGCTGTAGGGAAGCATTGTGATTAAACCCTTCCCATTATTTACAATACTCTCTGAAAGTGAAAAGTCCAAATACTTTCCTACTTTCAAAGGAATTGTATCTTTAGATATCTATTTTTTGTATCTGTACATGTACAAGATATATATATATATATATATATATATATATATATATATATGGGTATATGTATACATATATATGTATATGCACATATATTTGCTACAACACATACGTATAGACAGGGATAGTATGTATATCTACATTCACATGAACTTTCAACACATATTCAGAGACAAGCACACAATACATACATGTTTCTAGATCCATACATACCTACTGCTCCTAAACAGTCACAGTAAATGTGCTAAGTCTGGGATGATTGTCTATTTAAAAGGCAACGTTTTAAACAGATGATTTTTGAGTTCAAAATGATTTTTAAAAAATACTGACAAGAAAGAAAGATTTCACCTCATCCAAAAAGGGTGCCAGTGGCTTGAGCGAACTTCCCTTTTAATTCAAAAATTTCAAAGCAGGCATGATGATTTGAAGAGAATGAGGTTGAGAGATAACTGCGGCACATGAAAGACTGTATCACTTCCTGCCTCTTCCTCCCATATGGTGATGCTATTCGCCGGATGACAGTCTCATGTGGAAGAAGTTCTGGTGGACTTTTCCTAAGTCTTTTGAAGTTTCTTAAAAGACAAGAAGACATTCTTACATATAAACAGTATAGTGATAAATATTATACCAAATCTTAAAAACCCAGGTCATATTTGAGTTCACACATTTCATTTCTCAGAAACTATAGTACGTATGCTGTTAAATATAATTAGACAAAATTTCATTATTGATTTTTCAATATGGAAACAGCCTTTCCGAATTACAGCTTTAACTTTTTTTATTATTAAATAGGCAAAGCATTGAAACTTCAATAGGGAATGTATTATTTTTGTGCCTGTCTTCATTGGAGTTTCTATTTCTCTGATAAAACACCAAGACCAAAAGTGACTTGGAGAGGAAAGTGTTTATTTGGTTTACATATCCTGGATTACAGTCATTTTAGGAAAGCCAAGGCAGGAACTGAAATAGGGCAGGAATCTGGAGTCAAGAGCTAATGCAGAAGCCACAGAAGACTGTGCCTTATTGGTCTGTTCCTTGTAGCTTTCTCAGTCTACTTTCCTATAGAACCGAGGTTCACCATCCCAGGGGTGGCACCACTCACTCAGGACTGGCCCCTCCCACATCAACAACTAATTTTAAAAAATGCCCCACAGGCTTGTTGCTTACAGCCCCATGTTCTGAAGGCAATATCTTAATTGAGGTTTCTTCCTCTCAAATGATTGTAGTTTTTGTCAAGGTGACATAAAATTAGCCATCTCAGTGCATATATAATATAGTATATGTATAGCTGTTGGTGTAACTTAATATTTAATGGGATCATACTATCATACTTAAATGCTGCTCCATCACCTGTGTTTTGACTTAATATGCTGTTAGAGTCCCCTGTGCTTGCTGCTGGTGGGTGAATGTCTGCCTTATTCTTTTTAAGAGCTGAACTGCCGTAATATAAGAAATTATTTTCCATTTTTGTATTAATACTATTGCTAACATAATATTTATTCTAGATCACCAAGAACTTTACGTCATGGAATGATTTCTTAACCCAGACATAGGTATAATTTTTGTATAGATAAGGTATAAAAATAGTGACATATATTCCTCCATTGTCTTAAAAGTTCTCTCCACTAAATACTGTGTGTTAGGAATACTTCCCACCACCCCTTATAGTGATGGGTATCCATGGCTTTAAACATCTGATCAGTAAGAAGAAAACGAAATCTTTTCAATGTACATGACGAGGAAGGTCACAGATTCACATTTAGTGTTCATTGATCACTTATGTTTTTCTCTTATAAAGTACTTCATTTAATTCATGCCTTTTTTCTATATTCATATTGGTGGTTGGTAATTTTTGCTTTTAGATTTGAAAAAGCTCTTTGAAAATTTAATACACTGATTTTCTGTTCTTATTTGTATTGTGAATAACTTTGTCATAACATAGTGTGTAGTTGAAGTTTTTCTGTGTCCTACCCAGTCCTCATTCACTCAGATCTAAGTAAACACACAGAGGCTTACATTAAATAAAACTGTTTGGCCATTAGCTCAGGCTTTCCATTGACTAACTCTTACATTTAAACCCAGCCCATTTCTGTTAATCTATATGTTGCCACGTGATCCGTGGCTTTACCTGTGTGACCTTACATGCTGCTCCCTGGATGGCGGGCTAGACTTTCCTGATTCAGCCTTCTTATTCCCAGAATTCTCCTTGTCTGTTTATCCTACTTATACTTCCTGCCTGACTACCGGCCAATCAGCTTTTTCTTTATCAACTAATCAGAGCAACACATTCACAGCATATGAAGCATGCCACAACACCTCCCCTTTTCTGTCTAATCAAAAAGGAAGGGTTTAAATTTAACATAGTAAAATTACATCTAACAAAAGAGTTATCAAGCAAGATGTGGGGCTGGGCAAGACCAAAAAAATAAAATAAATAAAAAAATAAATAAATAAAAACTTCAGCTACAATAGTGTTTACAATGGCAGCAGACATAAAGAATATGTAAATTTATCTTATTTAATAAGCAAATATTTTGTATTTTTATCAAGTTAAGAGATTAGCTTTTTCTCGCCTTTTCTGTCTTACACAGTTCTTATTTCTCTAAGTTCTGATTCATGAATAACTTTTAATTTTTAGAGATATGGAGGTTTTATAATGCCTTTGAATCTCCAATCATATAATTTTTTAAGCAATATAATTTATTGACTAATTCATCTGTCTTCAGTGACAGAAGTTGGTTGCAATATTTTGTACTAAATCATCAGATGAGAAATTGTCAGATTGTGTCTATCATTTTTTGTGTTTTCATTTGTCTACAATCCCCCCTGTAAATAGTAGCTATCT